ACCACCATAACAGAACAGAGAAAAATGTACACAATGGAGACGCTAAATTCCTTCACAGTTACAAAAATATCTGATTTTTAAGAAAAAAACGCGACATGTAGCAGTAATAAGAAAATAAATAAATGGTCATAAACATTGTGTAATCACACAGAAGAGCAACAGATGTTTATAATTCAGAAATAAGCCATGAACGTTTCAAATCATTCATCTGAAGGGACCATTTTGGAGAATAGAATTATTTGTATTTTTTTTTCTGAATTAAGACAAATAGAGGATGGTATTTGATCTAAAAATCTAAAATATTCCAAATATATTGAACAATTACGCTCCGTTCAGCTTATATTTGGTGGCTACAGGCAAAGCTAATGGAGAATTGTTCTTTTCCCAACAAGTTTCTGTTTTTCCTGTCTTTTTTTATCCTGCCCTTCCTGTTTAAAGGGATTTTTCCCTCCCACTGTGACCATGTGCATGAATCAAAGTCAGGATTTGAAGCAATTCATTGGTTTGTGTAGCTTTTTTATATATACATTTATATTGTATATCAGAAAAATAACGATTAGTATTTAACTGGATCATATTTAGAGTGATTATAAGTGTACTAGGATAAGATTTTAAGAACTTTCTTGATAAAATGCAGCTAGATAAGTGAAACAACACCATCCAAGTAACTGTAAAAATGATATAAAACACATATTTTATTACATTTCTCCAACTAAAAGCTTAAATGGACAGAGCCTCAGTGTTAAAGATCCAGTGTGCAACATCTGTCAGAGCTCACTTGGCAGAAATCCGTTTTTAATGGCACAATGAGATTTTTATGTTAAAATGTTCCCACAGAAGTCCAGCATGGAAAAATGTGTATTGACCTTTACTTGGCACCAAAAATGAGAGTACAGAAACATAACTAATAGCTTATTGAAATAGATCTATATTATGCATCTTAGATACAAAATTGTATCAAGTTGGACCATAAAATAAAAATAAAATATCCTAATGAGTAATGTAAAATGGTTTCATAATAAAGAGATTATGGGCAAATGTTAAATCCATTTCAGAGCCATTTTAAAGGGAGAAATAATGTTCCAGAAAGGTATTTTAACAAACCAAACATGGATTAAAATATAGTGTACTGTAATATGTTATCCACCATCTTCAGTTAATGTAAAGATAAAAAACTAACTTAGTTTTTTCTGAGCTGAGATGCTTTTTCATAATCACATTTAACCATTTAACTGACTTCTCAATAAATGCACAAAATATGAGTTAAACAACATAAAGCACTCCCACAAACCTAAAAACAAGGTAAAAAATAAAGAAAGAGATTTTGGGTCCATGTCCTTAGAAATATAATAGGAGAAATGCGCAAATGTGTATGTGCGTACATATTTATGTACATATATATTTTTATATGAATCATCATTTCTCTGTTTCATTTTTAGTTTTGACATTAATTAATTAAAGTATTGATAAAAAAGGCCCTGATGTTAACTGATATTTGGTTTTCTGTGTTCAGAATAATTTATGGAAATAGAAAAACTGAAATCACACAACTCGCTTTTAAAATCTAATCACATCTACAATATTTCTTATTAATCACCATAGAGATTAGAATCACTAAAAAATGTAAAGGCTGTAAAACCGACTTTGTTACATGTCGTTTTGACATTAAGTAATAATTTATGTATAAGTGTAGAAAGGATTAATATGAAATATATTTGAAGAGTGTGAAGAGCTGTAAAATATCCCAAACAGTTAGTTTCAGAGGCAAACAGCTTTATCTCAGGTTAGTTTTTAAAATCACAACGTAAACAGTGGTGCCCCGATTCACCACACCCGGCAGGACTGCCCCCCCCGGTTCATAACCGAGGAATCAGGACAGCCGAACGCTTTCTGGAACTCCTCGTAGTTGCTCATTGCTCCAATAACTCTGCAGGGAAACAGTAAAGGCAACAATTAACTCATTGGTTGCCAAAGACGTCTATAGATGTCTTTTATGTTTTTCAACGAGAGTGGCTGGGGGACGTTCTGCTAAAGCTTGTCCGTAAATATCGGCTTCTAGACAGAGTATGTAGTAACAAATTGACCCTCTAGGGGGCAGTGCCACTTTTGATGGGAGATGAGCATAGACTGTAGGCAAATAAGAAAAAGGTAACGGTTCGCTATGAGAGAACATGTCGCCGGTGAGACGCAAGTCCAGGAAGAACGGAATAAGGTAGAAACAAAAAAAATTTCCTGATGAAAGAAGAGAGTCTACTCTTTCTTTTGGTGTGTTCGGTGTTTACATAGTCATAGCACAAACTATTCTGTGGCTCTTGAAAAATCAGTCAAAATGCTCAAAAAACTCTGGCAGTATGGGACCCTGTTCTGAAAATGGCTGCCAGTCAATGAGTTAATGAGGGGAAACAAAACAATTTAGTAGCTCCACACAAAATGGTCAAATAATGACATAAAATGTGTGTTTAACCAAATGTCATTCATAAAAGCAATGATTTTACACATAACCTTTACCAGAAGAGCAAAGTTGAATTTAAAAATGTTTAGGATAGTTTGTTTTCCATCTAAAGGGTTCTGTACAGCACAGATGGCATGATATGAGAGCCAAGAGATTTCATCATTTGGGGAATGAAACAAGATGCAGGTGTTTTAAAAGTGCCAAATCAACAATTGTGCCAAACACATTTGTTGAATTTAATTAGTCGAGTTCAGTTTTGCCACATGATTTATTTAACCGCAAATTAATTCTGCAATGACAGGAACAGCTTGCTTGGTTAAGAAACACTGACATAGTAACGTGGATTTAAGATATTAAATGCTACACATTTGTAAACGTACCACTAAAAAATGCAGCCAGTAATAGACCACCATATCTCAAACCTTTATTAAGGCTGGGAGTGTGTTCTGTAAACTGTTTTTCCTACGTAGTGGGGACACAAAACCACACATTGCTCCAGCATGTGGGAACATCCGGTGACCATGGAAACAAAACTGTGGTTGACCGATGCTATAGAGAGACCCGCTCTAGGGTTTGGGTTTGGTTAGGAGGAAGATAGCTGTATTGTGTAAATGGACCATCCCAGCTATTCATTTTCATACCGATAATTCCCAATGGGTGAGCGGCCATATTGTTTTTTGGACGGTGGTAGGAAGCCCCTTCAGACACATTTAGGTCCTCTTTAAAAACTCATTTGATTTATGGCTTTTAACATTTTATCCTTAAGATGAGGTAGAGCACCTTTTTACCTCTTTATTTTACATTAAAATCACATATATGTATATAAATTATGTTCGCTTTTTATGTTTATTTTTACTTGTATAGCACTTTGGGAACTTCGGTTATCTTAAATGTGCTCTATAAATAAAATTTGACGTGACTTGACTTGACATTTAGAACATATAAACTTGAACCAGGAAGTCTGGGAATAGCACCATAAATATTTAAGAGATAAAGGATTGAATGTTTGAGTATTTTCACCTGTATTTCGGGGGACTGTGGGCTCCATTTTGGATCTGCTCCCTGGCTGCTTCTGGTCTGTATGAATTACATCGAACCTGAATGGACCAAGATGATGACAAATGCTTAGATTGGCTCTACGACAAAGAGATTAAAACATTATCTACAAAAGAAACTATTATCAATACACTTTGACAACCTATCATATCTCATTTAGGTGTATAGACAAAATTGGTGAGTTTCAAACAGATCACAGACTGAACCCAGAAGAACTTTCCAGACTAAGATCAATGTAAAAGATCCTTCTCAAACTTTGTTTTTTCTAAACTGAGATGCGTTTTCATAATCACATTTAACTGACTTCTCAATAAAAGCACAAAATATGTGTTAAACAACATAAAATACTCCCATAAACCTTAGAACAAGTTAAAAAATAAAGTTAGAAAGAGATTTTGGGTTCATATCCTTAGAAATATAATAGGAGAAATGTGTAAATGTGTATGTGCGTACATATTTATGTACATATATATTTTTATATATGAAAATCTTAAATATTTCACTGGTTCAATTTTTGTTTTACACTAGTTAATTAAATTATTGATAAAAAAGGCCCTGATGTTAACTGATATTTGGTTTTCTGCGTTCATAATTATTTATGGAAATAGAAAATCACACAACTCGCTTTTAAAATCTAATCACATTCATAATATTTTTAATTAATTAACCATAGAGATTAGATTAGTTAAGCAAGTTACAGCTTTATTTTTTGGGAAATCAGTCTCTTCTAATGTCAATAATCCTTCATTATGTAGTCGGTAAGTATTCAGAGTTCACAGTTGTGTGTTTGTTCAGAATTAAAAAGCAAGAAGAGACAAATGTTCCAGTTTGTTCTCGTGCTATTTGAGAGCACACATCGTTCTCTAAACCCCCCCCCCCCCCCCAGAGCACTCAGAGTCCTCGCTGAATTAAATTACCCGAGATAGCCCACTGAATAAATCAAGAGCTAGAAGTTGGCACAACAAATCAGAGCACAAAAAGCCACTTTAGAGAGGCACGATTCTTACAATAGAATAAACCATAATTGTTCTGAGAGGACTCAAATATGAGCGCTTCATATGATGGGTACCAACTACAATCATCAAAATATTCTCTAACTCTGGTTAAATCAGCTGGAAATAATTATTAAATCACAAATCAGCTTAGGTCTCTACTTAAAAATGAGAAACATGGTGTACAAATTACAGTAGAAAGTCCCTTTTAATTTACATTATTATCTAAAAATAAAATAGTGCTGGAAGATATTGTCAAAAAAACAAAACAGGTACACAAAAAACTCCTGTAAAGAGCTTCTCTCTCAAAAATGACCTATTAATATCAAATATCAGCTTAGGTCTCTACTTAAAAATGAGAAATATGGTGTACAAATTACAGTAAAAAGTCCCTTTTAATTGACATTATTATCTAAAAATAGAATAGTGCTGTAAAATATTGTCAAAAAAAACAAAAGAGGTACCAGGAAAACTCCTGTAAAGAGCTTTTTATCTAAAAAATGACCTGCTATTAATATCAAATATCAGCTTAGGTCTCTACTTAAAAATG